CTTTCGCCTAACTTCAATCCAACAACTACAGTCAAAAGTCGTTAATTCGGACACCCATAATCCGGAATGATCTATAATCCGGACCTCAAAGCTAAAAACTTTCTGCACATGCGCCGCGTTGGCACATGCGCACAGGCATTTTACGCATGCGCGTAAGACCTTGACTACTGCGCATATGCGTGTGCGCAAGTGCAGAATACGTTTTCGCCTGCGCGTTTAATGTATAACGGACGGTCTAAGCTAAAATTATCTATTTCAGTTAATGTTCATGATTGCGTTGTTCCTTAATCTTCGAATTGGATCCCGCTTATTATTTTTTGCAGACTCTAAGACCAATTTTATAAAAGTAAACTTGAACTTTCGATTATGTCAAATAGAATTTCTGATGCTGGAACTTCCAAAGGATCTACAAAACGAAAGTATGTTTCTATGTCCAACAAACAAAAAGTGGAACTGCTGCAAAAAATGCATAAAGACATGAAGAATGTGACAGAGAGGTTAGTGAAAACGAAAAAATTTCGATTGACAAAGTTAGTCGGTATTCTCGGCACACAGCAATTAACGAACGGGACTTAATAGCGGAACTTTGTAATTGAACAAAGAAATTATGTCTTATAGTTTATAGAATAAAAAGAGAAAGTATTATCACATAAAACGAAGCAACTTAAACAACATACATTGAAAGAAATGTTTAATAAAGTAAAACAAATAAATATTAAGCTTTTTTTTTTTTTTTTTTTTTTTTTGTAAATTTTGATACCCTTTAGATCATAACTGTTCTTTATTTCATAAATTATGGTTTCATATTTTTAATTTTAGAATTTCTGCATGCCATCTTACGAGATTTAAATTGATGATCTATAATCCGGAAAAATCGATAATCCGGAATCGCCGAAGTCCCGACGAGTCCGGATTAACGACTTTTGACTGTACCATTTTATCTTTCCCTCCCATCTTCTCAGACACACAGGCGACCAACGAGCTCCAGAGAAAGAATTTTCAACGTCAACAGGGTTGCCATAAAAGACGCAATCGCGCCAAAAACCAGCGCAGAACACATATTGCCACATTTGGTGAAATTAGGGCGTATATTAGAGTTGTACCAAAATATTTTAAAGAATAGAAAACTGCAAATCTTATTTATTACATTTGTAAAGCACAAACAAGTAGGAGTTAGAAGTTGCAACAATGAGTATTTATAAAGTAAGCAGAGATGCTGAAAATCAAGAGGCTTCTTTCTGATAGAGAGACACAACACAGGAAATTAAGTATTTAATAACCTCAACAGCATAATAAAGGTCAAGGCCAGTCATTTATAATGTTTTAGAAAAGATATTTATGCTTTATCTTAACTGATATAAGCAAAAGAAAATACATTTGACATTTAAAAGATTATACTTAGATTGCTTATTAAAACAAAATACGCAAAAGAAGGCAGAAATCCTTTCAGGAGAGATTTGTAAGATAAAATCATTCCCATTACATATATGAAAAATCATGCAAAGCAGCCAACCTATTCACTTACTGGAAGATGAGCCCCAAAACATTTACCAGCATTCAGTGGTCTTACAAAGCCTGCTACTGCATCCAAAAACTGTAGACTCACAAATTAACAGTAACAATCTGCAACACAATTCGAGCTTTTAAATCAAACATTACAGAAAAACTAAGTGACTGAAAGTCTTTTAAAAATTTTTTTAGTCACATTTTGAAAAGTTTTGTCAGAAAGAAAAATAAATAAATAAAATGGGAGAAAGTGCAGAAATGCCCACTGCTTGGCACGTTTTTAAGAATTACACATACTCAGTATCCATGTACACATCGACCTATTTTCACTTAAAAAAAATCCCAGAATTGCACAAAAATGGTTTTGTGCACTCCCTTTTTCCATGTACACATCGACCTATTTTCACTTAAAAAGTCAAAGAAAATTGACAAAAATCCAATTCTTTTTACTCTTATAAAAAGCGCCAAACAAATAAGTAGGCAATTCTGCACTTAAATGTACTTGATTTATCCATCAAGCCATAAAATGTACTTGATTTGTCCATTAAACTATGAATATTGCCATATAATGTTGATTGCATGTTTGAATAAATATGCAAATCATAAGAAACCTATTCAAATAATTATATAAATCAGAAAAAGTACATAAGCACACCTGTTTAAATTACATAATCACACCTGTATGAATTTAAAAAATGGGGTAGAGTAGACTTTAAGGTATCCCTTGTATTATGGCTAAGTTGTTGTTTTATTCATGGTAGCCTGAGTAGTTGAATGTTATGGAAACCCTATTGTGACGTAATTGGGTGCAGGATTCTGGGAAATTTTGAATCATGGGATGTTTTGTAAGCATTTTTGTGGTGTGTGTTGGTTTGATTCATTGAAAGGTAGAATGGCCGAATGTAGTAAGATTAATTTGAAGTTTCTGTACGATTTAGAAAGGAGAAAAGAGCTTTAATTGACTAGTGTGTAAATGAAGGTTTACTTTGTAGCCATTACAAGTGTCCTGTATGAGGAAGGATATGCGTCTAGTCAAACGTAAAAACCGTTTAGATGGATTTGAATGGGTTTGTAGGAAGAAAGGTTCAGATGGTCACTATGTGAAGTGTTCGATCAGAAAGAGTTCCTGGTTTGAAAAAAAGTCATTTGAATATGATTGATATTTTGATTTTTACGTGGCTCTGGGTGTACCAAGTGAACTCGAAAATCATGGTAAATGAATATTTGCTTTTGGTAGTGCTTAAATGTATAGCATGTTTTTCCTTTTTTGTGTTACTTTATTGTTTGGTTCAAAATGTATTTTATTGAGATTATGTATTTTTTGTTTGCCTGTATTGTAGAATTTGGTGCTCCTTTGACTTTTTAAGTGAAAATATATCGATGTGTACATGGGCAAAGTAAAGGGAGCGCGCAATGCAAGTTTGTGCCATTCTGGTTTTTTTTTTTTTTTTTAAGTGAAAATAGGTCAACGTGTACATGGATAAAGTCAAAGGAGTGCGCAATGCCATTTTTGTGCAATTCGGGGATTTTTTTTAAGTGAAAATAAGTCGATGTGTACATGGATACCGAGTTTGTGCAATTGTTCGTCTTATTATTTTGGCTTTGTGTAGCAGCCATTTTTGGCGCAAAAACAGCCGCTTCGCGAGCCAAAATAACGAGTCAAAGAATTGCACAAAATCGGTATCCATGTACCGCCAAAAATTGCCAGGGGGTACCTTAAACTATACTTTTACCAAAAAATGCATATGCGTATATATATTAGGATAATTCTATAATTAAGAAGAGGCTAAATCTTTTCCATTCAACCTTATCAAATGAAAAGAAACATTTTCTATGTTAATGTAGGTTTATACTAATAAGAAGCGACAAAACAGACGGCTGATCTTTGGAATATGGTAACTGGTAGTTTAGCGACATTTTGGAGGCGATAAAGGTTACTACCTAGGACTTTGGTAATAATGTGAGCAGTACTCAGTTTTGATTACGCATTATTTTGTGTGAGGGAAATGAGAGATCATGAGATATGTCATGTGATATTAATGGACGAATTACAGTTCTTTAATCGGAAAAAGGGGGGGGAATTTGGAAAAATATCTGTGGCAGTATATTATTTTGTATTAAGCTTCATTGTGTGTTGTGTGAAGTAGTGTTGAATAATTTTCGGATTGTATGGCGCTGTCTAATATTATTTTAAAGATCCGGAAACAGGTGCACATACCAATACAACAGAGGGTACGTTGAGTGCTATAAAACGCGCCATTCCGAAGAATTGTGATAAAGAGAATTTCGCTTTTTATTTAGCGGAGGAAGTGTGGCGGAAAAATTCGCAGAAAAAATCATTCAATAATTTTATTGAATCAATAATAAAAGTGAATCCACCATGTAAGCAAGATTCTCAAGAAGATTAGGTAAGTTAGTATTTTTAATTATTTGAGGATATTATTTTTATGCATTGTTCTAAATGTAAGGTGGAAGTAAAGTAATTTGGTATTATTGGAAAATTGTTATTAGCAATGATTTAGTTTAAAGTAATTAGGATTGTATGCTAATTTTTATTAATTTAATGTATGTGCTTATTTAAATTTTAAGTAGTGTTTTTGACTTTAATTATATTTTAATTAAATGATGGTTATTTTGTGAATTTTATGTTCGTAGGAATTTGGTATACGTTTAAGTTGAAGTAAACGTGCAAGGAAATAATTTAAATATTTGACAGTAAGTATTTGTAATGTTTGCGGTATGAATTCGTTGCTGACGTTGATAATATAATAGATAATTTAGAGGTAAAAGTTTTTGGATATTTTATTTATTTTATACGTGGAAATGTTCATATTTGGAAAGGGTATATACTTTCTCGCGATCAGGTAATTTCATATATGTTCTTTTTACTGGGTTTAAGGATTCAGAAAATTGTCATGCATTTTCGTGAAATTTTTCTAATTTATGAGAAAAAGCAGTGTACATGGATATAGTGAAGAGTGTGCGCAATGCCATTTTCGTGCAATTCTGGGATCTTTTTTTAAGTAAAAATAAGTCGATGTGTACATGGTTTATGTGTATGTGTTATTCTGAAAAACGCGCAAGGAGTTTGCTATTGTGCACTTTTTCCCAATTTTGCAGTAAATATTTGTCATGATTAAGCAGTTTTGTTAGATAAAATTTCTAGCATAAGTGTAATTCGGCTAGCAGATTGTTGGAAAAAGTGTTGAGTAAATAAAAAGAAAAGAAACATGTCTTTACTTCGTGAAAACAAAATAGCGGTGGAAAAAAAAAAAAAAAATAGAGCGTTGCTGTAGCAGAGTTGGTCGCCAAATTTTCGCCAAAAAATCGCCAAGTTACCATAATCCAAAGATCAACCAAACAGACTGGAAATGTTGAAATTTTTTAAGCTCCAGTTCTTACCAAGATTTACTGCAATTAAAAACATCATCATTTCATGTTGTTCAATAATTATCCAACACACATCAAATATAAATAATTTAAAGTAAACTCACGGCTATCATTTCCTCTCTACATGGTGAAACAGATCTATCAGACATGCAACTGTCATCATCGCTCGCAGAATCAACTATATAATTTCCATACTGAAAGAAATTTAAAAAATAATCAAATCTGATGTTAAAAATGCAATAAAGCAACTATGCCTACATCATTTTTCTTACAAACCTTATTCATTTGTTTATAGTTTTCCCATTCCTCAGGAGTAACATCACTCAAAACAGAAGCGAAAAGTTCAGATGTGCCTTCCATTGGATCATCATCCATCTTTCAAAATTTATTTTACGGCTCTATATTTCATATAAATCTACAGTTTTGCCAAAAATGAATACATCTCTATCATAAATTTTATAAACTTCCAATTCGCTACTAGCATAAACAAAGTACAGTTTAATTATACTACAAAATTTAAGACTTTCAGCCTAACGACAGAAACTCTGAACAAATTTCATAGGCTTCTTCGAAATTGCAGGAACAGAAAATTTTGATGTAACTCACAGATCGTATTTTATTCTCGAGTGTCAAGATGTAGAAAATCAACTGACTCTGTAAAAGAAAAAGAAAAAATGTTGCATGAAGAGAGTTCCCCGCAAAAAGGTCAATTCAAGGTTTGCAGATATATGCGACGACAAACGCTGAGAGTTTACGGAAGTTAGCGGGTCTCACGTGACCGATGGCAACACTAAGAGGTTACCGTAATTTGCGCCAAAATTGAAAAATGAAGCCAAATGTAATTTTTCGAAGTAAGCAATACACGTTTTCGCCATTTTGCTTGCACGTGCTGCTGTGGGGGAAGCAAGGTACGTAGTATTAGCGCTGATATTTTGTGTTTTAATTATCTTATTTTAGTTATGTGTTTGTCTAAGCAATCTGAAAAGATGAAAATACTCATAATCGGGGATTCTATGATTAAATATTTACAAGAATATTTGTCTGCGAATTTACCTGATTACGAAGTTGATTTTCGTTGCTTTCCAGGAGCTAGGATTGAAAGGTTGACACGTGAGATTGCCTTTATGAACAACCATTTTCATTTAGTTTTTGTCCACGTTGGTACCAATAATTCAAATGACGATTTAGATGAAATTCATCGTAAATATGGTTGTCTATATAAGGGAATTGAACGATTAAACCCGAAGGTCATTCTGTTTTCAGGTGTTCTCCCACGATGCCCGGATTTATATCGAGATTGTAACACGTATCACCTACAAGAACTTAATAGGAAGATACTAAACATAAATTCAAGATTTCTCGCAACATACGAAGGTAAAGATGGGTTTTTCTTTTGCAGCTCTTTTGACTATTCTTGGAGTACTTGTTTATCCAGAGACGGTTTACACCTAAATCGGAGAGGTAATCAGCAGCTGGGGAAAATTTTTGTAAAAGATATCAGGATAAGTTTGACTGTTGCAGAGGTAAGTGCACCATTTTGTTCTACATCCCTTAGCAGTTTCCCAGCATTAACCAGTATTCCTTCTGTTCTGAGTACTCATTTGGGTAGTAATCTTGGTGCTTCTGTTTCCAAACCACTCTTTTCAGATGTTGTGAAACGTTCTTTAGTTTCCAGTGTTCGGGTTTGTAATTCTAGAGATTTTTTGTGCCATGTTTCTTCTTCTAAACCGCTTTATTCAGATGTTTTAAAAGCATGATTGTTTTACTAGCTCTGTTTTGAATACTAATCCCAGTATTCCGAGTTTATCAGATTTTCCACTTCTTGAATATTCACTTGGCACTAGTGTAAATTTTTTGGATCCACCTCCTAAGCCACTTTACTCAGATGTTTTAAAACATGGATTTTCTAGTATGATTTTGGATAGCAGTTCCAGTGTTTTGGATGTATTGGATTTTCCAGCTCTCGAATGTACTGTCCACACTACATCAGGTGTTTTAAATTCTACTGGATCTCAACTTCCTGATACTGCAGCTATTTCTGAACTTCCTGGAAATTCAGTGTCTAATTCTCAACCTGCAGGCTCTTCGGATTCCAATTCATCATCATCTCATCTTGGTATCAGTTTCAATTCTTGTACTTCCATGTCGAATTTTCCAGTTTTTAAGGGTTCATTTGTTTGCTCTGATTCAGATTTGCAGAAGGCTACTATATCTGTATCTAAATTTTCTTTTATGTCGTTAGTCACTTCTCAGCCTACTGGCTTTTGAGGCTCTGTTTCATCTACTCAGCTTGTCACCAATTCCAATACTTGCCCATCAGTTGTTGGTTCTTGTGCAAATTTTAATTCTTACCATCCATATTTTCATTTTAACAAGTTTTCTATTCTTAAAAATTATTCAGAATGTTCTAACATTAAGTTTGGGGGTGCAAATGATTCTAATCAGGGTGAAAGTAATGTACAGAAATCTGAAAATGGGTATGTTGAAGAAAACTGCAAAGTTATTACCTCTGTTAACCCAAATATAAAGACTATAATTTGTCCATGTTGTAAGAAAGATTTCTCTTGTAAAGAAACTTTATCAAGACACAAACGTAACTGTAAAATTTTAAATAAGGATAATTTATGTACTACCATAAAGAATGATGAAATAGAAAATAAATATCCAAGAACGTGCGAGGTATGCATGAAGTCATATGCTTCAAGACAGTCATTTTTTAATCATAAAAAAAAGGTGTAAATCTGTAAATCTTTTTAATCATAAAAAAAGGTGTAAATCTGTGTCTTCTGAAATTGATTCAAAATCATATATTTGTGACAACTGTGAAATAGACTGTAAAACCCGCAGTAACCTTTTTCATCATAAGAAGTTTTGCTGTTCTAAAAATAATTTAAATATTCGTAAACCGTGTGTTTTTCCTGATTGCAAGGCATCCTTCCAGTTTATTAGTGATCATAATAAACATTTGGCTGAATTTCACAATTCTGAGATGGATGTGAAGGAGCTTACATTTTCATCAATGGTGGAGTTTCAGCTGTGGTTAGAATGTCATTCTAAGGAAACATTCAGTTCTTTTAAGAAGTGTTCTGGGAGTAAACATAAAGTTAATAAAGCATACCATTATTATTGTTGTCACTTCACTGTAACACAAAAAAAAAAAAAACCAGTGCCAATTTCAAGTAGAAAAAATCTTAAAGGTTCTTTACCATTAGGCTTCAGATGTCCATCCAGAATTTTAGTTTCTGAGGAACAAGATCTTGCGACAGCTATTTTTTATTCAGGTCACAATCATGAGCTGTCGTTTGAAAATACCAAATTTCAACAGCTTAGTCAGAATTGTCGTGATCAAATCAAAACTTATGCTCAGTTAGGTGTTTCCACCGATCAAATTCAAGAATTTATCTGAGATGGAAGTGGATCACGTGATAATAGAGAGAGCTTAAGTATTAAAGATAATTTTGTAACATGTAGGACTATAAATTACTATGTAAAGCGTGTAATGATTTCTTCTCTTAGTGATGATTCACTTTCTGTTGCTGCCATAGTTGAGAAACTTAGGCAGGAATCGTATGACCCTATTCTTATTTACAAACCTCAAGGAAAACCAACATTGTATGGTCCGAAAGGCCTTGACACACTGTCTTTTGCACTAGGATTGCAGACAAAGGAGCAAAAAGAAATGATGATTAAAGGTTGTAGCAGGATTTTATGTATAGATTCTACTCACAAAACAAATCAGTATGATTTTTATTTGCTAAATTTAATTGTCCCAGATGAATTTGGTAGTGGTTACCCCGTAGCACATTTTATTTCAAATCAGTTGGATCAGGATACGATGTACAATTTATTTCTTAGTATCAAATGTGTAATACCTGAGCTTAATATTAATTGTTTAATGACAGATGATGATAAAACTACACATCCTGCATTTGAAAAACCATTTGGTCCAGGTATTAAACATATACTATGTAAATGGCATGTACATCGTGCATGGCAACGTAGTTTATTTCGAATGGTTTCAAGTCAAAAACTTAGGGATGAAATTTATTTTAATTTAGTTATATTGCTTGAAGAAACTAATTCTTTATTTATTTCTATGATGGATAATTTCCTTCAAAAGTTTCGAGCTGTTGCACCATCGTTTGTAAATTATTTTGAGGAGTATTATTATTGCCGAGCAAGTCTGTGGTCAATGGCATACAGAAACTTCCCTCATGCATTCACAGATACTAACATGTATTGCGAGTCATTTCACAATAAATTGAATACTATACTTAAAACGTAAATTTTACAGACGCCTCGATAATTTAATTAATGTGCTTTTAAAAATTGAAGAAGATATTTACATGGCTTATAAGTATAAAGTTGAAATTAACTGTAAAGAGAGCATCTACCCCCCAACTTATAATAAATGACATGAATCTGGAATGAAAATACCTGATAGTGATGTAACAGAAACACACACATCCTTGTTTGTGGTCTATAAAATTACAGACACGTAAAAATATTCAATATACAGTTAAGCGGTTGCATGAACTATGTTCAGAAACAGATCATTGTTATTCAAAGTGTATTAACCTCTCCTGTCTAAATCTGTGTCATCATTTATATAATTGTAATTGTCCAGACTTCAGCACACTATGTGAACACGTACATAAAATACACTCAATTACATGCAGGCAACCAAGTCCTTCTGTAATTGCAACAGATATCCTTAAAGCAGAAAACTCCTCCCCTCTAGAATTGATTAAAAAATCTAATGCTATTTCAGATACTGTTGTGTGTAACACTGAACCTAAAATTAACACTTGTAAGACTTTAATGTCTGAATTATTAGTTATGTTGCCGCATCCGACAATCCAAAAGATATTAATACCTAGTATAACAAAGAATTTAAAAGATATAGTTTCTAATTGTAAAGGTGCAATAAAATCAAACCATTTGAAAGATTTTTCTGATAAAATGCCATTTACTCAGGTTGCTCCAAATTTAAAATTATCACGTCAAACTCTGTTTCGTACAACATCTGTGAAAGGTATAAAACGTAAAATTCTAGATTATCCCGATACTTATAATAAAAAAAAAATGTCAAGGAAGGTTTGTTAGGGTTATCAAATAATATTAATGTGAATGATCATAAATCATCACAGGATATTAAGGTAATTAAATAAATTTAATTACTAAAATTTCACAAAATGCTTAATGGTTTCTAACATTTTTCAAGGAATTGTTCTAATCTTCAATATATAATGCACTTTTTTTCATTTATAAAAATTCTTGAAATTTTTCAATTTTAAACCGGTAAATATATGAAATTTTACTGATTTTACTTTTTGAAGGCTTAAATAAATAATATCCACTTTTTTTTTTTTTGTATTATGAAGCTTCAAATTTGTTATCAAATATTTAATTTTCCATGCAAGTTTCTTCATAAAACGTTCCAAATTTACACATAAAATCACAATTTCATTTTTTAAAATTAATTAAATTTCAAAAACTCTTAAAATTTATGAAATTTAAAAATCTGAAATTTACTGAATAAAATTTTGCCATTATAATGAATTTTCTTTTTAGCTTGATTTAAATTTTTTCTGCTTTTTTTTTTTTTTTTTTGATTAACTAATTCTCATTAATACAATACTTCCATAATCAAATTACTGCCATTTACCAGTCAGGTTTTTTCAAAATGTAAAATTAAATGTAAAAAAGCTGATTTTGCATCTGTTGATTTCTTTTTTATTCCAGCTCTTATCAATAATAATCATTGGGTTTTACTTGTTGCAAAGATTAAAGATAGAATGTTTCAGTTTTATGATCCACTTGGTTTTAATGCCGTTCAAAATTCTGTGTATTCATTAATTCATTTGTGGCAAAGTATCCTTAATAATGTTTTAGATATATGTGATAATTGGTATTGTTCGTTTCCCAATCACGCTATTCAGAATGATGGCATGAGTTGTGGAGTATTCATTTGTTATTATGCCTATCAGATTAGCAGAAATTTAGATGTTAAACAGGCTTTCAATTCATATGAATTTAGGAAGTTTATTTTTACACAATTAGGTGGAGAGATTGTGAAAATATAGATGTTAAATATATAATTCATTTGTTTTAAATATTATTTAATTTTTGTTTTCTGACCTATTGATATAGCATTAAACTCACGTAGGTAGTATTTTATCTTGTGTTTCCTGTGCCCTAAGCTTTTTTATATATTTTACTGTCGTAACTTGTAAATTCAAAGACTGCATTTAGTATGAATTTTCTTTTTTCTTGCTTTAAACCTTGAATTGAGTGTTTGTAAAATTTAATTCCGAAATGTATTTCCCGTATTAAATTGGTCTTGTCTTGTTATTTTTAGTAACACTTGATGGTACTTAGCTTCAAAATTGGCTGTTTAAAGCCTTGTAACATAGTTTTTATATAGGCCTTAAATTATCATTTTTCTTTCAACTAGCTGATATAATTTTCTTTGAATGTTCAGAATTGACGTTACCAAAAGAGCAGCTATGTAAAAATGTTAGTTTAGGGGAACCAGCATGGTAACGAGCTTGCACAGTACCTCTTGGGTGGCATGGAAACCTGTGTATTTTTATATTGTCTCAATGGATTTGAAAAAAAAAAAATTTAAGTATTCTTTATAGTTAATGCTTAAGTTAGATTTTCACAATGTGTTATGTGTTAAAATACTGTTTTTATGCTTTTCTAGTACTATAACCTTTTAACAGTGACAGGAGGATAAAAGCACCAAAAATAAACCCACTGTGGTTATTGCCTATGCGACAAAAGTAAATTCTTCTAGCTATTGCCTATGATCTAAAGTGATACTTCGGTTCCTTTGCAAAGTAGTATAAACACAAAGTAAAGATCCAATTGTAATTCAAAAAGTAAAAACTCAAAATATATGAAATACTAATTAAGAAAATTAGAAAATGGTGAAAGCTTAACTTGATTCAAAGTTAAAAGTTTATATGTATGTAGAATAAAGTTTAAGCTATCTCAAAACATATTAGAAAAAATACTACAAAAAATGTTGAAAAAGAAAAACTACTACTAAGCAGCGGTAAATGGGAAAATGCAAGGCGACGCTGCTTAGCTGTAGTTTTTTTTTTTTTTGGGGGGGGGGGTAGTATTTTTTCTAATGTGTTTTGAGATAGCTTAAACTTTATTCTACATATTAACTTTTAAGTTTAAATCAAGTTAAGCTTTCTAATTTTCTTAACTATTATTTCATATATTTTATGTTTTTACTTTTTGAATTACAATTGAATCTTTACTTTGTGTTTATACTACTTAGCAAAGGAACCAAAGTATCACTTTAGCTCATAGGCAATAGCTAGAAGAATTTACTTTTTAAATTTTATTTACATAAATATATTTAATGTACATGTAAAATTTCTTTTTCATACATTCTTAATGTTAAATTTTCATTTTTGTCTTATGAGAATATGTTTTTGTACACTTGTTTTTACAAAGTTTGCATTGTTTTTAAATAATCAAAGGCAGAAGTGTCATAAAGCAATTTTTTCAGGTAAGAAAATAAAACTTGCTCTTATAAGAATTATATATTCCGATTTGAAGATTGCATTTCAAGTTTGATAGAATGACCAGTTTCTGTTTTTTTATGAGCAATTTGAATAATTTTACTAAACAGCTTTTTAAATCTTGATTTTTACTGGAGAAAAAGACGAAACTCTTTCGCATCTATTAATTATAAAAGTCAACTAATTTCTGGTCAGGACAATAATTACTTGGTTTGTTGATTGCACTTCGCTTTTAATTCCATTTTAAATATGTTAATGAGTAAATTCATTCCTTTTAATAGAATTCTATTTTTATTTTTCAAAGAAGAAAATGTATTCAATAATCCCCGAGAAAATTCGTAATATCTCAATTTAATTTTTATTATTACTAATATTGGGAGAGTCAACGGTGGTCCTAAACTGACTGAGTAGTCTTAATTTTTCACTTGTCAGATATACTTTCTTTACTCATTAGCAGATGTTATTTCGTTGACATTTTTAAATTAAGACAAGTTGTTAATCAAATCTATTATTTATAGCTATATATCAGAAGTGCATATACTAGTTTCAAATTTTTTTTTTTTTTTTTTTTTTAAATGAACCATTAAAACCCAGCAGGTAATCGAATATATGTTTATCAGTAGCTATCTGTAGAGTGAAACAGTAACTGCCAGCAGTGTGAAGCTAAAACACAACTTTTAAATGTTTTAATTTTAATAAAATACAATAAGGTATTCGTATTTGCATAGAGTTGGGGATTATCATCAAGATAAAAAATTTGGCAATTAGGGCATTAATGTTTTAGAGCTTAGGATAAAAATGCAGATTTAAAATAGTTAATTTTCATGGTGTTCCAAATGGAGGAAATGTAGATTGTATTTATAAAACTACCTTTTAATACATTTTTGAATTGCCACAAGAAGGCATGCAGCTTCTCTTAAAAGATCACAAGATAAACTATTTCGTATTTCAAAATTTCACAAAGGACATTATATGACCTCTAATGCAAAAGGATATTGTCTGATTTTGACTTAGCAAGAAAGGAAGGTAAGAAAACAGTTATAAAGCAATTCAAGAAAGGGCCAGCTTACCAAAAATTTTAGTTCAAGGAATTCGACTTTCAAAAAGGATGACTCTTAGTTTGTAATAAGTACTATTTTCACAATAAAAACTTCTTAATATTCAGTTAATTGATTAAAAAAAAAGCATACGACTGCTGTCACAAACATCCTGAGGGTAGTTGACCCTATCAGTTTTCACCTGTGGCTAAGTGAATAAAAACAGCTCTAAACTTTTATCACTTAACAAAGGTTTGAATGCTGGCAAAGAGGCTAGTTTCACACTGCTTTTATAGCTTTGCTCATACTGTGTATGTAAATATGAGCCAGTCTTTATGAAGTCCTCCATGCTGTGACGAATTCAGAAGGCAAGAGGTAGTGTAAATAAATTTATTGGGGTTCTTTCTAGGCTATATGCAAAAATAAATAAACTCACTGTAGGGTGAGGGGGGGGAGAACTATAACAACCAGACATTGTGAATAAAGTTTCCATTTAGCACTGATTCTAGATAAAAGCTCTTGTTTCAAAATAATTCAAGACGAGGCTGTTTAGAATTAATCGTCTCTCCAAGTCAGTGGTTCCCGGACTGAGTTGGATGCTGTCTGGTAAGGTAACGCGAGCCCGGCTACCTCACTGTAAACTCTTGGCAGAGATACTAATGTCACTCTACGCAGAGCGAAATAAAATTTGTGCGTGGCCAAGCTGGAAAAACCAAGATAAGGTTTCTCTCTTCACTTACTGTAACTCACTCTCACTCCTTCTCTAAAACTGTGTTCCGTGATTTTGTTCCAGTTGTCCTGGGCATGTTGAAAAAATATTGAGGATCCTCATTTGTTCGTAATTTTAAAAGTGCCTCTTGACTGGCAAGAGAACCTTGATTAAAAACCGGATATAATGAAGACAGCCTGGGGACTCAAACCAGGTGGTCTGAGACAACGCACCTATAAACTGATGAAAGGGAACAGAACAATGTCTCCCTTCGGACAACTATAAGAGGAACAAAAACTTGAGTTTGTTTTGTGGCTGCTGTCACTTTCTTTCTGAGAATTCGTTAAGAAATGCTCTGTCCATGGGAACTTTCAAAGCCGCCATTCTTTTTCTCAGAATGTTGTGGTGGTCGATACAATAGCTTAAGCCGTTACAATGCCCTGTTCTGTTAATCAATTAAACATTAACTTTTGCAAAGTTCGAACATAGATAGAATTTTTTTTAACAGATCAGTGCATATTTTGCTGATTGGAGATTTTTCTCTCTGGGAGCTATAGAAAAAGTTATTTTTTTAATCAAAATCCTCAATGTCTTGGAGTCAGTCTTCATCTTATTTTGAAAAATTCCATAAGTGGAAGAATGTATATTGGATCAGTTTTTAAGCTAATAAATCAGTTCATGTATACATAGGGTATGAAGAAATATGCTCTGTGTAAGTAAACTGAAAGCATTTTCCCAAATAACTTTAAAATAAGAATCGCAAAAAAAAAACGCTTCTTGAAGTGTTACAATAGGTAATAAAGAAGAAATATTAAGAATTATTTCCTTCAAGATTGAGCCAACTTGAATAAAATGTAAAATTATTTTTTCAAAATAAATCTGAGTATGTAACTTAAGTGAAGATTGAAATATCAAAAAATTCAGTACATAAATGAAATAAAATTTGTATATTCAGTAAGCATCAGGGATGTAATTTTTAAGCTTTCTCTTTTATGTAGGCAACAAAAAAAATCTATCCCTAACTAAAGGAATATGTGAAAATAATTAAATTTCAATGAAATGGTAAAATTTGGTTTAACTGCAGTAATTAAGTTTGTATGATTTTATTGCTATTTTATTTGCACATTTACTAAAAATTTGTATATTCAGTAAGCGTCAGGGATGCAATTTTTAAGATTTCTCTTTTATCTATCCCTAACTAAGGAACAAAAAAAAATCTATCCCTAACTAAAGGAATATGTGAAAATGATAATAAAATTTCAATGAAATGGTAAAAATCGGTTTAACTGCAGTAATTAAGTTTATGATTTTATTGCTATTTCATTAGCACATTTACTACTATAATAATACATATTTTGACTCTCGTATATATTACACAGTAAGAGATGGACTATGAAATGCTTGGGATATGCAAATTCTTGATAAATAAAATTTCCAGGATAATAATATATAAAATGCAATTGGCAAAAAGTCCTGTTAATGGAGAAAGAAATTTCAGGTCTAATACTATAAAAACTGTCTTCTTATTTGTTATCAGCTTCTAATCAAAAGCCTACAATTAATTATGTAACGTTTAAAAAAAACTTCACACATAAATTTGTATGTATTTGCTATGCTTTTGGCATATGAAATTAAAATATCTTCTTATTAAATGTCATCATGAAAATTAAAGGAGATGTTGCCAAATTTGCACCATTCATTCCAGTGGGAGCTTAAAGAAAATGGCCAATTTTTATTTAATATCATGATTCAAGTTAAGGATATAGCATATCAAAAACTTAAATTTTGTATGATAATTTTGCACTTTGTATCACCATTGTTCATTCATTTTTTCCCAGTTTAATGTCATAAATTATAATTAATCCGATGCTAAAGTCTTTCATTAAATTTTGCTTGTTTTCACCTTTTTCAAAACTTAATTATTTTGTTTTTTATATGTTGAAGAATCTTCCATTTTTGCAGTCAAGTTCTGGCAAAGATTTTCAGTCAGTAGATGGATAATTAATCAAAATAGATACAATATTAATTTCCTGTCACACTAAAAGATGTTTAGAAATTGTTACCTATAGCCTATTCAACTTGAGGACCAATTTAATGAAAAATCTGTTAGTAAAACAGGTGAAAACAATTTCTGATAGAACACCTGTGTTCAAGTGCACTTCCAAATTCCACTCTATGCAGTGACCTTGGTCCTTTTTGCTCACCACAAGAAATCTATGTTCCCCTCTAGTAGTAACAAAGGACTTCTAATGGGAACTGAACTGTGTAACTTCCCACAATTGGTGAGAAGAATCAGAATCAGAGCCAACAATAAGGACTATTATAGTTACTGTTAGCCTTGGGTGAGGCCTATTCTCTGGAGGAATTCTTAGAACAGTATGATGGATATAACAGTGGGGAAGAGGGAATGTAAGAAAGGTGTGTAAATGTAAATCTGTTCACAATTTAGAAGTTATCAGCAGGGTTTCTGGAGGCCTGTCCCTGCTTTATATGTCACTTAAATTTTCTGAAATTAAAAATTTTCCAGTTAGTTGATAGTCCAGCTTTTACTGTATTTTAACATTTAAATGTTATGGATATATAATACTGCTGTATTTAATAAATATTTAAGTAAATTATATTCATAAGTGTGTCACTGGCTGCTATCCACATAGGTATTTGTTGCACGGCAAGTATCACAATGGGATTTGTCCAGTGGTCTTTTATCCGGGAACCCATTTTAACTTGTTCTCGAATTTTCAAATATATTTTAGGAAATGACTGAAAAGAATGAAGCATAATTTCCTGCTTTTTATATGAAAACCAGATTTCTATTTTTCGGTAACTTATTGGGAATTTCTTCTTGTATGACTGGTTTCATAAAGGCTGATTACATACAAAATATACAGATGATTGATGAATTAGATATTAATGAAGTTTTTAATGTAACAGGATATTTAATCTTGATTGTGCTGTTATTAAGGATTTAAATTTTGTGTAACATTAAAAGTGAAATTATAAATTTAAGTTTTATTGTCTTTATGTAACATATTTTTTTATGCTTTAAAACACTTTTTTGTTGAAATAATTTTTTTTTTAGTTGCATGGTAGCTGAATGATCTCTTATATGGATGGATGGATGCCATGCCAGTATAAGAAGAGATTAAGTCCCAATGGCAATTGTTTTTGTGATTGACTGTGCAATATATTTGTAAAGCTTTCAGAAAATAATTGCTTTTAGGACATATAAAAATATGTTCCCCATATAGAATTTAAAGAACATCTGGTAAAGTTACATTTGAATTCTTGTTAATTGTTAAAAAAGCAGATGGTATATTTCACAGAAGATGGATGATATGTTTCACTTGTTTTTATTCCAGATTTCTGTTATTTTCAAATATTGCAACTAAATATTCCTCAGATTTAAGAAATGTGGCCAGCACATCTCTAACCATTTTGAGACGTGGAATTGACAGAATAGTAACGAGCTTTAAGTGAACTATCAGTATCTAGTTGATCATTTATAAATGAAATCTAATTAATTTGTTAACTTTATGGCTCAGTCTTAATTATAAACACTAGTCATTTTTTAGTATTCATTCCTCCCATCAAATATAAAAAAAAAAAAAAATAATGATACATGAAGTCATCCTGTGGTCATATATGGTTTCGGATTCACAAATCAATGACTTAATCATATATTTTTTTAAATCTTTAGAATTCTCAATATAGTGTCAACTATGTCAGTCCATTTCTTTGTATAGTTGCTAAATTGTATCCTTAAAAATAACACATAACAGTAACATTTGGTGGAAGCATTTTTATTGGAAAAGTGAAATAAATATGAAATTATGGACTAAGGCTAATACATTTAATTGCTTCATAATGAATTTATTCTCATAGCATTTAGCACAATTCCAAAATACATTTAACGCTTATAAATATAATATGTTGTTCTCAATCACGTACCTATTTTAAATACCAAATTTCAGAAGTTTCTCTTGTCTTTTTACAAAAGCTTGTTCCAAGTGTTAAAAGTATCACTTCCAGTGTATTAATATTAAGAAAAATCTAGTTGTTCCCATTGATATAAAAGTCTTAAATGCCAAAACTGGAAAGTAAGAAGATGCAGATTTGATATAGTATGGAGAAAAACTGTAAAATTAAAAAAGATATGAATGGGTGCATTAAGCAGTCTGCATTTTCTGGCAATTGACTGATTGTACCTGAAAAGCAAACGAACGGGGGATCGCTTTTTCCGAGGGAATAATCCCCCTTAACACAGATTTCCAGAGATGCCACAACAATTCACACACCTTCCCATTAACTGACAAACAAGTCTGAAGGTTTTAAATGCTATCCTTTCAAATCCGAACGTGGCTTTTTTTTTTTTTTTTTTTTTTTTTTTTTTTTTTTTTGAGTACATACACTGTATACTCTGAACTCTTTCTGAAGTAATAAGAATTTCGCATAGAAATAATTCCCTTACCCCTTCATGATTAACTTAGTATAAATAAAATATTTTCTGTTTTAATTTTGATTCCTTGAAGAATTTTTTTTTAAACTTTTGAATGTAGAGAAATGAATTCACTTTGAAAAACGTACCACTTTTTCATGTTATTTGGCTGTTTTTTAGTTGAAGTGATTGTATTCGCTTTTGTTTTATTTTATTACTGTGAGAAGTAAGGAAGTTTTATAAGCGCGAAAATTTTTGGGGTTCATATTTCATCGGAAATATCCATTTTGCCCGTTCCCAAATCCATTTTCACAATCCTTTTCCAACTGTGCGTACGGACAGAATAAAGTCATTTTTTCTTAAATGGGTAGTTAAACAGTAAAATAGATTCAAAATAGATTTTTTTTCCTGACATCTGTATGGTACGTACATACGTATGTATGTATCTCGCATAACTCAAAAACGATTAGTCCTATAACAATGAAATTTTGTATGTTGGGCAGCTATAACATCTAGTTGTGCACTTCTCTTTTTTATTGCAATCGGCAGTAGTACCAAATATATATATACTGCCCCTTACCAGCTTAAATGTTTTTACACGGCTTTTATTTTATTTTCTCAATCTTTGGTGGTAGTCATGTATATCCAATTATGAAAGTATTATAAATGATGAAAATATGCATGTTTTGACAATGTCAAATTAAAAGAAAAAAAATTATTTGGATAAATATTGAAATCTATCTTTCAATGTGTTCTTCAGGTTCCCATGCCTATTTAGGCTAGTTCTGTACTCGTTATGAAAAAAAAAAAAAAAAAAAAAGTTACAAGAAGCTTGACATCTGCACGACAAAAATTTCCCGGGATATTCAGTGCTATTTTTCGTCTCATTTTCAACTTGCATGAGGGATCGGTTAATTAGAATAATTCGAGAAAATAAGTTTAAATGAAACGCAGAAAAAATATGTATGATGTAAATAAGTCGTCTTGTGGTGTTCACATCAGTTTTTTTTTTTATTCTTCTTTTTGATCATTCCCCAAAGTATTTCGGTTTGGTTTAGATGTATACGGCAAAGCATTCGAGGACTATCTGCATAAGAGGAGGGATGCCTTCGTAGAGGCCTTTGTAAGGGAAACTGGCTCGTATACATGTTACAAATCGGAAAACAACGAAAGCGCCCATGCAGCCAGCCTCTCCGCAGGGATTCGAACCCCAGACCAAACTACCAGTTTTCAGCGAGTTTACCGCTCAGTTGCTGGTGGGCTCACAAAAATAAACGAGATGTTTTCATTTTTTGGTCAATAGTTTAACTTATTTTTGGAAAGAATAAATCTTAATTTATTCTTCTTTGGTTATTATTTCAGAAAAAAAAAAAAAAAAATAGTTGGAAAACTTGTAGGGAGGGAACTAAAATGACTACTTCTTGTATCCATAATAATAAAAAAAAATTTCTTTTAATCCTTCTGGAGCGTCTAAGTCTTCTTTATTAGGACTACAGCAAAGAGTGGTTAATATCTCTTGAGAAGAGAAATAAGAGGGCAGAGGATTAATATAAAAGTGATAAATAAGTACATAAGTACAATTAAATAATTAAAAATAGAGTAAATAAATATAAACAAAAAGATGTCTAACAGCAAATAAACTCATATTAAAATTAATAATCCCAGAATAAGAATAAAATCGAAAGATTAGAATCTTTTGCTTGTGGAAAAGCAAAAAGTAAAAAGAAAAAAATTCTTGCATCTGCAAAAAAAACAGGCTTGGTCGCTTTCAAATCAGGCTGCACAAGCTATCATTTTAGTTTGATTTCCACAAGATTTAATCACTTGATGTATCCACAATCTGGGATTATCATTTGCATGTTATTTATTTGCTCTTTTTTTAATACATATTAGACTTTTTTTTAATCTAAATTTATTAGCCCAAAGAGCTATTAGTCTCGTTTCGGAATTTTTGCTTTGAATCACTTTATTGCGTTCGAATCACTTTAGATGACTGTTTCACTTTTCAGATTGTATATTATAAGGTATAATATATAATCTGAAAAGATAGAATATATATATTATATAAGATATTAAGATATTTTATTTATTTTATGTAAGATTTTTAATTTAGGAATATTTCGTACGAATATAGTTTTATTATTTATAAAATGATGTATGATATATTACACTTTAAATTATTCCTATATTTAAAATAATTATAAAAACAGATTCCAGGGAGACATAGCTTGGTCTTAAATGGTAGTGTGGTCAAAGCTGATAATATCTCCTCTACGACGGTACCATTCTTTTGTGTTCGATATGCAAAATTTTGTTTACCTTTCCAAAAATACAAAGTAGTGGTTTTTGCTTATTATTAAAGCAAAAAGCATTACTTTGTATTTAATGCACCCATTCATATCTTTTTTACTTTATATCTTTTTTATACTAAGTTCCAATACAGCTTGCAAAAGAATTTTTTTCCATTAAAAGAAAAAAAGATAAGACCGGATTTTAACCATATTTAGGCATGAAACTCTTGAAGCAGTTCTAATTGAAAAGTTAAATATAATGGGAAAAGAAACTTTATTAAAAAAATTCCATAATTTAGAGCTTAAACTTACTAAGCATGCTACCTATAAATATTTATATTCATTATTTGTAAAGAAATTATAAGTAATTTATGATCATTATATGTACTATTCTTCTGTATCTAAAATTCAATTTTTTTTAACTTTATTTTTCTATAGAAATCAGAATTCAGAAACCTAAATATATATGATTTATGGATTCTAATTTTCTCTATGATTATTTGTGATTTAAAATATTTGCATCAATAATGTTTTAGTAAATTTTGATATTTCTGCTTTAATAAAAGGAAAATTTCTAATAAAATATGCATATAATTTATAAGATTTTTATTTATTCAATTTTATATAGAGAGATATTTTAAGCTAATCTAATTAAATGGATTACAATTAATGATTTAATTAAAAATTAATAAATGGGTAATAAAAATATGCTTTATATGCACATTTTCAAATTTGTAAAAATGTCATTCACACATTGACTGCTGACAAGTTTTGCTCTTGGTTGGAGTATAAGTAGTGTAAACAGGCCTTATGAGCTTCAAGCAAAGTACCACTTCTAGTTGTCCAATTTTGCCCAAAATCTAATCAACTCTTTATGTACGAATGTAGAAAGCTTAAATATGGAAAATGGGAATTTTTGGAAGTTCCAGCAAGCGTTATTGTTGGATGAAAAAATTTTCACACACAAACAGACATCATTCTAAAAACAGCTGAAACATGTTGTTGAGTTCCCTAATTCGCGCTTTTTCGTGGAAAACATCCTTTAGAACAGCGAAAAAAAGGTTGTAAAGCCCTTTAGAAAGGCACGATCCAAATCACTTTTCTGCCCTCCTTTATTACTGTTCCCTAATGAGAAGAGTCATTATAGGGGCTCACCAGCGGCCGAGCGGTAACGCCGCTGAACACTGGTAGTTCGGTCCGAGGTTCGAATCCCGCGAACGGGCTGGCTGCATGGGCGTTTTCGTGGTTTTCCCCATGTGTAACGTGTATACGAGCTAGTTTCCCATAAAAAGTCCTCCATGAAGGCATCCCTCCCTTAAGGCAGATAGCCCTCGAGTGCTTTGCCGTAATCTAATAAACCAAACCATTATAGTGGTTATTTGTGCCCTCCCCATGAAAGTAGTAAAATTTACAGAATGAAAAACATTCTAAAATTTCGTAACATCAGTTTGACACCTGAAGAGATATGTAGCTAGCCACTGCTCAGAAAAATGAAATGTAAGTGAAATATAAACGCATAAGCATAGGGCCCGTACGCACTTGGGGCTATAGGGCGTATGCACTTGAGGTTACGCATGTGTTCCTCAGCGGACACATGCGTTAAGACGGCCTTGGCATAACTACACTGAAGTGCAAAATTAAGAAAATTTGCAAATTATGTCTATTTTTACAAAAAGTATTGAACCAAAGATACTAATTATGGCTCTAAAGAATTATGATGAAACATGTCGAATATAAAGCGTACGCATATCTGCGGAGGGTATCTAGGCCGCACGAAGGGTTTTCGGCGATTTTCTTCACAACATTTGCTGTGTTTCTCGCAAGAGTGGGGGTAAATTT